AGAGAGAAGAGAGAGAGAGAGGGAGATGAAAAAGAGGGTGTAATCTGGGTGATAGTCGAGGTCGAGTTAGAGAGAGAAACACATATAGGACAAGGGTGAGTATCCTAACTGTGGAGTGGCAGGATAGAGAGAGAAGCAAAGAGTGAAGAGGGAGGATAAAAGGGTTGGGATAGAGAGCGAAATACAGAGAAGAGAGTGGTTTGGATAGAGAGAGTAATATGGGCAAGAGCAGAGGTTAGGTTAGAGAGAGAAAATATAGAGAACAATGATGTTTTTTTGGGATTAAGAGCTAAAAAAGCCATGAAAGCTTGATTTTTTTACTGAAGGGAGAAGAGAGAAGGAACCAAAATAAATGAAACCTGGTACTTGATCAGTTTGATCAAATCGCAGATTAGAGAGAGAATAACCAAAATACAATGAGGGTTGATATTTTTTTATTTTTCTCAGATCAGCTGCATAAGAGAGACAAAGAACCTAATTCAAAATTGATGTGTTCCCATGTCTCTCGGTTCAGATTTTGAGTTCATCAAAATCTAAACTTTGGGCATGGATCAACTGAAGAATAGGAATGAGGAATAACCATATTCAAATTTAAATCATTGAGAATTATAATACTGCAAATCTTAAATATGGAAACCATCACAATTTATGGAGACCCAAATCATAAATTACAGAACAAATGAAAAAGTTGAATGGTAAGAAGAAAGGAGGAGAAAACACATAATGCAATAAAAGAACCCAATGCAGAAAAAATGAGATAGGGGGGACAATTAAGATCTCAACCTTATGAATGATGCAGTGTGCTACTTGTCTTCAATATACATTCCACAAGCGATCATATTTCTCTAATCTAATGAGCGGGCACATCTCTCCAATCCTCTAAGCAATCTCTAAACCATCCCCAATAAGTTCAAGGAAGCTTGCTGGTTAGAGAGTGGAGAAGGTGGAGAGGACGAATAGTGAAACCCAAAGGTAAAGTGGCGGGCTAGAGAGAGGAACAATGAGAGAAGAGGAAAACTTGCAGATGAGCATTTTGGGTGAGAACATAGAAGAGAAAAGAGAGGCTTCAAGGGTGGGTACAGAGGTCGGTATAGAGAGAGAAACACAGTGAAGAGAGAGGTTTGTGGACAAGAAGAGTGATATGGATGATCATTTATCAGCAAGAAAGAAACAAAAGCAAATAGCCAATAATTCATTTTTTTTGTTTTCCAACATAAATGAAATTAACACCCTACACTCGTGGAGAAAAAAAAAAACAAAAACAACAACAAACCAGATTTCCTTCTATTCACATGAAAATACTCCATGTAAAATAATTCAAAGTCTTTAAGAACTAACCACTCCTATTGTAATTTCACTGATGTTAAGGTTAGAGTCCCCAAGGTTTCCGTACTCCAACGAGGTAGCCCCCTCTTCTACACAAATGTGTTTCATCACAGAGCTCCCAGTGCCCTCTAATGGCCTATTTCTCATGAATTTGAAATGGGGCTTTCCCACATTATTACATATGAAAGCTAAAGACAGAATAGTGGCCATTGAGAAACACAAAGCATGGAGCGGTTTGCGGACATGAAGAGTCATATGGGTGAGAGAAGAGGTTGGGTTAGAGAGAAAAACAAGGAGAGAACCCGGATGAGTTTTGTGGGTTGTTTGGGTGAGCACTGGGGGTTTAACATGAGTCCTTTCCCGGGAGAGAAATGGAGCGAAAAGTCATACCTGACATGATCTTGACAAGCTACACTAATTATATATTAAAAAATTAAAAAGATACCGATTGTCCCTAGAAGAACCGGTTGCTCGAGTTTGAATCTCGAGGATCTCAAATTAAAATTGTCATAGTTATTGTAAACACCTTATTTCAAAGGTAAATGATCAAATATTATATATTTTTTATAAAAAAAAATTACAGGATTCCGAGGTTCACCGATGAAAAACAAATGCGAGAGGCAGAGAGAGAGAGAGAGTTTGATAGAAATATTGGAGATAAGAGATCAATTGTCCGCTTGGAGGCGATTCACAGTGATCTCTTGATGCGTAATATAGCTGTGATCTTCATCCACGAGAACCAAGTTGAGGTAGTATTTGATGTTGAATTTGTTGTTTATGTTGCCATATGTAGGCGTTACGTTATATGGGCTCAAGAACAGTTGAAATAGGGATCGATTCACATGCACTCGCATAATGCAAAAGGGGCCATTAATATACCTCTTAAATCTACCAAAAAAACCTTGTCGATGCTATTGGACAAGAGACTGGGATGGGAAAAGCAGTCCTCTCCTATACCACCCTGTAGTACAACACAACGACATTTATTGCTCTCAAAGATTTTCCGCAGTTTCAATATGGAAAAATATTTGGTAGCTAGAAAAAGAACTGCTGCAAAAACTGTGAAAACTTATGTAGGGAGAAAAATCGTAAAACACGGAGAGAAAATTTGTGTCCCCTATATTTTAGAAGTATCTCATTATCATTATCATCATTAGCTGAGTCTTATCCCAACGATTTGGAGTCAGCTATATGAATCATATTCTTCCATTCCACTCCATCAAGAGTCATACCCTTAGTTAGACCATAAGTCACCATATCGTTTCTCATTACTTCCATTCATGTCCTTTTGAGCTTTCTACTTGCTCTTTTAAAACCTTTTACTTGAACTAAATTGCCCCTTGTAACCCTCCAAAATTCTAAATCTACATTTTTGCCATATCTAATCCCATGAATCACAACTATCATCTGCAAACAACATACGCCACAGGATCTCATCATGTAGATGCTTAGTTAACTCGTACTTAACCTAAGCAAAGAGATATGTGTTTGATGTTGACCCTTGATGTAGGCTCACTCTTACTAAACCGTCACTTGTCTCTCTACTAATGGCCCTTGTAGTACTTAACGCTCCCTTGTATATAACTTTAACCATGTCAATATATCCCCTTTGAGACTCCTTTCTTTTCCAGCACCTACCAAATCATCTCTCTACGTACCTCATTATATGCTCTCTCTAAATCAATAAAGACAAGGTGGATGCTTTTCACTTCTCCTTAAACTTCTTAATCAATTACCTAAGTAGAAAAATGTGTCAATGGTTGACCTCCCTATCATAGATCTGAACAGAATTTTCCGTTGCACTCCTTTCGTATGCTAGAAGTATTGAAGTTCCAAAAACTAAATATTAAATACTGGCAAGAAAATAAATATATTTCCCATAGTTTGATATTTTACTTATATGAATCCTATTCTTCTTGTAACTTATATCAAACTTCACATACCTATTTCTTTTTCTCCCAAAAAAATCTGCAAGAAAAAATTTAAATTTTGTGGGTAAATAATTGAGAAGAAAATTGTTTTTCTTCTGAAGATGTGATGCATTCTAGCAAGATGTAAAAAGCAGATTAGACATGAGGCAGTAAAGGGCAGAAGAGCATCAAGAGCAGGCAGATGATAAATAGACGAGGAAACACTTGATATTTGTTGGTTGAAAGGGCAAATGCAAGCAAGCCACGTTCAATTCAAAACCCGTTTTGAATCAAAATTACTTAATCTTTTTAATGCCATAACTACATAGTTTTCCAAAAACCTTTAACATTATAGTAAGCATTATTTGTTAGTGTTTTCATGCAATGCACATCCAACAATTGATTAGATCAGCTATGCATGAGATATGGGTGTGTATGTAAGTACTTATGTATGTAGGCGTCAATGTATGATATATATGCAAATAAAACAAGACATATGTACGCAGACTGAATGCATATGTAGCTGAATGTACCTCTGACAGGAGCA